GACCCAGTAAATACATCATCACCTAATCCAGTTGGGTCATCATAAAAATCTTTAAATTGATTCATTATCATACTTTTTCCACCATCTGATATTCTGAAACAAAGAATAGCAGAAATAACAGCATCTAATTCATTTGGTTGATTCCAAAACATCATTGTTTTATAACAGTCTTTTTTAATAAATTTAATTGGTTGAATATTATGAGGATTACGTAATGTAAAAACAAAAAAGCCAGGGTCTTTTCCAAAAAATGTTGTATTTTCTTCATGACGAACAATTGGTACTCTTGTTGCTGTGAATGAACCAAATAAATCATTATTATCTGTTTCTACAAGAAGAAGTACATCAGTTAAACCTTTAATCTTACTATTAAGACCTCTTAATGATAGTTCATCAATAGAAGAGTCATAAATAATTTTAAAATGTGATTTGTTAGTCCATTGTTTAAGATAAGAAATATAATCTACCATTGAATAATCTCTAACTTTAATTTTATCAATATCTGATTTCTTCTGAAGTATGTCAATCTTCTTTTTTAATAACTTAACATCAGTTTGAATAGAGTTATAAGTTGTTGATTGACTTAAAAATAAAGGGTTTTCTTCGTTTGATTCTTTTCCTCTCTCATTTTTATCTACCTTAACACATCTTCTATCAACTAAGTTTTTAAGTTCTTTTAAATTAGTTTCAATAGTTTTAATGTTTTCTTTTAAGATTGAGATTGTTTTTTCAAATGTCTTTTTCTCAACAAATACTTCTTTCTTCTTATCAAAAATCTCAACTTTTTTACCATTTCCTTCTTCAGTTAATTTTCTGTCACTCTTATTATATAAATGAATTGTCCCATTATTTTGAATATAAATTTTACCATTAAACTGACTAACATCCATTTCTTTTTTTTGTTCTTTTTTAGTTACGCTCATCTTTTTAAACTACCCTTTTCAAAAAAATATAAAACAAAAATTATAAATGAATTATTTTTATAATATTAATCTCATTATTACAATGAGATTAATATCTTCTTATATCACTGATAAATTTGAGTAATTATCATTAATCAATAGAATGTATTTTTTGTTGACGGTATTAAATTCTTAGAGTACAACTTCTTGTATAAATATGTTGATAGATTTATTTTATGTCATAGAGTACTTCAAAAAGAAATTTAATGAACAGAATAAACTTCTTAAGAATGAATAACACAAACACTTATTTCATAATGATAAAATAATAAGAGAATAACAATTCACTAATTAATTAAAAGTAATTAAAGTTTAATACTTGGATTCTCTTCCCTTGTTAAAATGAAATAACACAAAGAATATAAAAATTCAATAATTCTTTATTTTTTTGATGGAATAAATGCACAATATTCTCCATCCATAATTTTCTTTGAATATCTCCAATATTCACCAAATGTCTGTGCATCAGTAAATACTTTATCTAAATATTTAAATCCAGCAATAATGAATGGATTATTTTCATCTTGTAAATCAGCAATTTGTGCATTTAAAGGATCATTTGAACTTTCTTCATTAAAATTATAATAATCAATCAAGAATTTAGTACAAACAGTAGTAAATACACATGCAACTAATTGAGCAATAAGATCAGGTGAAATGTTTTTTCCATCTTTTTGTCTCTTTTTAATAATGTCTCTAATATCAGGAAGAACAGTACCATTAATTCGTTTAAGTGGTTGAATAATTAAAATAAGTTCTGTACTTTTAGTGTATTGTAATAATACTAATGTTTCTAATACAAATAATTGTTGATAAATCTCTTTTATTGTTATCATATTTTCTAGTGCATCAATATATCTTTTAGTTAATGTTGTTATAACATTTTTACGTTGAGTTAAAGTAAACATTGTATAAATTGAACTTAATGGATGTGGAATTCTTGACAATAAATGTTCATTTCCTCTTAATTGATATCCTTCAGTTACTCCTTCACTAAAACGACATAATATTAATGAACTATGTTTTTCTCCAATTAATCTTAATAATGAAATTGAATTAGAAGAAGTTAATTGAGTTTTATCAGTAACTAATGCAATCAATGATGATATTAATTCGATTGGATTAATTAATCCTTTTTTAATAATTGAAGATGCTAACGTTAATGCCCTATATCTAATTAATGCATTTATTGATTTTAATAAAGGAATTAATTCTTTTGTATGTTGTTGAGCAAGGGTCATTTGTAAAACAGATAATTCATCTGTTGAAATAGCTTCAAATAAATCATTTAATAAAGATAATGTAGAACCACATAATTGTTCATGATTGGTTTGTAATGTTTTAGAAATATAAACAGTAAAATAATTTTTAATTGATTCATATTGGATATATAATCCTGGATATTGTTGTAATAATCCAAATATTGCATTCATTTGGCAAATAAGTGCAACATTTGTTTGTGATTTTACAAGTAATAATTTATTAAATAATTCAACTGGAATAGGTTTATCTCCAGCTGGAAATAATTGTTTTAATGCATTGGTATTACTAATATCAATACTTCTAAATAACACTGCTAATACACTTAATGCTCGTTGTCTTACTTGTACATTTTGTGATAAATTCATAAATTGAACACAAAATTCTCCTACCCTTTCAATTTCATTTTTCTTTAATTCTGTTTCAATAAAACATTTAACTGATAATGAAATCATTGAAGGATTGGTTGCAGTAAATGTTAAATTCATTGTTGTTGTTGATATTTTTTTTAAAACAATTTCATCAGCTTTATTTACAATTAATGTTGGAATTACAATAACCATTAATTCTAATACATTATTTGTTTGAATAATGTCTTCTTGAGAAATATAACTAAGTAATAAACTTAATTTAGAACAAATACGGGATTTAGTGGTATTGTCTTTTGCTGTTGCTTTTAATACTAAGATTACTTTATTAAATTTATCACTTGCTAATTGATTAAGTAAATATTCTTGTAATTGTTGCATTTGAATTGAATTAAAATTATCTAATAATTGTGAAATTGCTTCTAAATATTCTGTTTCTGTAACATCAATTAATAATGATATTTTTTTAGAATCTAATGGTATAAATACTTCTCTTAAAATTCGTTTTGCTTCTTCTCTGTCATTTTGTCTATCTGGACGTGATGCAATTAGAAATATTCGTTTTAATAAATCTATAGCATGTGACTCTGGTGTAGAAATCATTTCTTTAATATGATGTAATACTATTTTAACTGCTTTCTTCCTTACTGATACAGAAATATCAAAAAGTCTATCAACAACCTCATTAACCTCTTTAGTTTCTAACTGTACTGCAATTAAGTCTAATGCACTTTCTCTAACTGAAGCAGCTTTATCTCTAAGTCTTGATATTATTATTTTTTGAACAACATTTCTTTTAGAAAGATCTTCTGAAATTTTAATTAAACTAAGTATTCCTTTTAATGAACGAGAACGAACTAACGCTTGTGAATCAGTAGTCATTTTTAACAAACAATTAATACACATTTCTGATATAGTTTTAAATTCTGGTATTACTATAGAAAGATAAGAATATCTATCAAATGGAATAAATTTATTAATACTTTCAGGTATTGATACTCCTCCAATAATAAAATGACTTGCTGGTTCTTCCCATCCAATTTGTGTTTCAATAATTTGTTTATTTTTTTCATCTTCAGGATCAATCATTCTTTCAAAAATACCACATAACACTTTATATGCTTCAGGTGTAGTAATAGAAGCACGTGCAAGTATTATTTCTCTAATAAACCATGTTTCATCAATTTGTCTTCCAGTAAGTCTTTTCCAAAAATCATTTATTAAATCTTTTACATAACATTTCCCACACATTCCTTGTGGTACTGAAGACCATTGAACTGCTTCTGTTTGAACAAAGTCACACCCACAGCTATTACAGACTTCTTGCATCTTTTTTGAATCAATAAAAGAGACTGTTGGTTGAGTAAAGAAACAACAAATTTGTGAAAGAACGTCTATTCCAATATTTCTTATTGCTGAATTAAAATTATTATGAACTAATTGGTTTAATAATACATTAATTAACAATTGAAGTATTAATAATGCCGATGGAAATTCTACTGTAGATGAAAGAGAAATTAAATCAAGAGTGAATGTATTTAGTAATGATGGAGATGCTGTTGATTGTAATGTACCAAAGAAACTACGAATAAATTGTGTACCTAGTATTGTTGTTTGTTTTAAATCACCATTACATTGTAATGCAATAATTAATGCTGCATCCAATGGAACACATTCACAATTAACTATAGATTTAGAACGAGGTGCTGTAGATGTTGAAAGTGCAATACAAATGTCTTGAACAATTTGAGGAATTAATGATGGATAATTTTTCCAAGCTGCAACAAGTACTTCAGTAGATGTTAAATGTAATGGTTGAATGTCATTACTAAGAAAAAGAAGAATTGGGGTTAATGTCATTAATACATTTGATTCAGTTAATGATTTTGATTGCATTCCATCAATTAATCCTTTTAACACTAATCGAAAGATAGAATGATACTCTGATTTCTCAAACAAATGTTCTGATGTTGCTGAATGAAGTATTTCAGAAATTGTATTGTAATCTACATTTTGATTAATAACACAATGTATTCCACAGGCACATAATGAAGATAAATTATTATTTTGAATTAAAGGAATAAGTTGTAATAACGCTTGTTTTTGTTCTTGAGCAGACTCATTAAAAAATGTAGTGTTGTTTATCATTAATTCAGCAAGACCCAATAAGTCATGACTCTTTACTAAATTTACAATTAACTTGTTATAATCTTCATGAAGAGACATCTCTTTTTTAATTATTTTAAGATTTTTTCTTTTTTCTTATCACAAATATTGAGGTTTCTTTTTTGTTATTAAAAATAAATCATGTGATTTAAACCTTCCATCCCAAACAATATGAAAAGAAACTTAAAAAAAACTGATGAAAACTTAAAAATCGAAAAAATAAATAAAAAATTGAATTGTACTGATGAGCCAACAACCAGCTCCTCCACAACCTGTTCCAGGTATTCCCACTAGTTGCACAATGAACATTAGTAATTCATTTGTTATTAGTTATATAACTAATCAAGGCGTTATAAATTTATATGGAAATCACTCCCAAGACGTACAGAATTTATTGAGTGGTGTTAAACAAAAAGAAGTTCAAAATAAATCACAAACAACTAAAGAAACAGAAAAATACCAAACAACAAACCAAGAAAAGATTTCTCAAAAATCTTGTGATCACCAAAACATTTCTGAAATAAATGAAATGAAAGAGTCACAACCAACTGAAGAAGAGTATCTTCATGGAAGTGATCCAGAATTAAGTACTGTTACTAGTATTCTTAAATCAATGGAAAGTGATTTAACTGCTTTAATCAAAAAAGAAAAAACTATTACTGAAACAGTTAACCAATTAACAGAGTCTAAAAAAACTTTAAAATCTCCAAGCCAAGTTCAAGACCTTCATGAACAAGTTGAATCTAACGAAAAAATGCTTGAAAAAGTTTCTAGTGAATTTGGTAGATTAAAATCGTTTTCAGTAAGTATGAGTGAAATGGTACGTCCTCAGTCAAGAACAAATGGACATGAACAAGATAGACAAGTAACTACTAAAATTCCATCATTAGAAGAAATGGAAGTTCAACCTGTTATTGGACAATTAAAATTTCAAAAGAAAATTGTTGAATGGACAAATATGCGTAATTATCGCATTTTATATAGAAGTAGTAAAGATGGACTTAGTGCTCGTTCTTTAAATGCAAGAATATGTGGAAGGTCAAATATATTAATTATTGTTTTAACAACTAAAGGATATGTCTTTGGATCATTTTCTTCTATTCAAATCCCACCTCCACCAAGACTAGGAGATTTACATGTTGGAGCTGATCCAAATTTCTTTGTATATTCATTCCAAAATCCATTTAATACCGAACCTTTAAAGATTTTAAAGAAAAATTCTCAAACATCGATGAAGATATATTGCAATAAAGAACAGTCATATGTTATTGGTTGTGATTGTTGTTTTTATATTAGATCAAATTGTCCTTGTCATGTCCCTTCAAATTTCTGTGATAATTATAATGAGCCTTCAGGAAAAGGCAATTTGTTATTTGTGAACTGTGTTTATCCAGAAAAGTTTGCTCTTCAAGAATTGCTTGCTGTCGAATTATCTGATTAATTTTTCCTTTCTTTTTTACTACTTTTGTTTTCTTTTAAATTAATATTTTTATAATCCTTGTAAAATTTATTATTAACTAACAAAATTAATTTTTAATGAAAAACTAAATAAATTAATCATTGTCTACCATTTGAGATGAAGCAGAAGCTTCAATACTCTCTTCTTGATCTTCAACTGTATTTGTAGTAGTATTTGTTGTTGATTTTATTTCTGATGAAGAAATATCTTTAGATTTTGTATTAGTTTTTGTTGATTCAGAATTATTTTTGTTATTAGAATCTGATTTTGATTTATCACAAGTCTTTTTGTAAGTAGCTTCTAGTTCTGTTCCTAATTCTTTGAAAGTAGGTCTATCTGATGGTTTGTGATTCCATGCTTTTTCAATGATACCTTTCAGAATACAGTCAGTATTAACATGAAGTCTTTTTCCAGCACCTACAAATCTTAA